GTCCACTGCGAGCTGTGGTGTCTGATTTTTGCCCGCCACTCGCGGCTGTCCCCAGCCTCCTAAGCATATTTAAACCTACCTCTTCCGTGTCTTATTGCCCTGTTGTGGTCTTCTGATAGCCCAATAGCGCGTGTATTCTGTTTGATTGTCTGATTAACGAATCTTGGCTTGTCTTACCGATTATCCTGTTTTCTCTGACCCGATTTTTCTCTCTGGTTCCCTCTGACTTTGGCTTGTATTCTGACTTCTCTCTGTGTGCACAGCCCGGTCACTCTAAGGACCGGTACTGCACTTCCTGTGTCTGTGTTCTGTCAGCGTGTCTGGTTCCGGAGTTTGTGACACAGAGACCACTTTACCTGAGGATGCTTCTACTTCTGCTCAGCCAAATATTCTGCCAGAGAATTTTGACCTAAAAGTTTTCACTTATATTGGGTATTGGCCTGAAACTATGGAGGAAACTATGAAACTGAACTTGTCAAGAGAAGGACAGTGGGACTGCGGAAAAATTATACATGACAGTGATGGCAGATCATTTTCCAAGGATTAGTTCTACATGGATTTGGACAATAATGAGACTATGTTAAGGACATGGTTGGTGTTTTCTACTGTAAACTGTGCTGCATATTGCTTTCCTTTCATGCTTTTTCAGAAGGCCAAAGGCTCTTTTAGAAGCCAAGGGGATTTAATGCATGGAGAAGGCTAAATTGCAGATTATTAGAGCATGAGCAAGTTCATATCACCTCAATTACAATGCAGAAATAATTTGATATGCGGTTACAGAAACAAGAGACTATTGATCCTGTTGTCCAGCTTGCACAACAGAGGTCATTTGAGGAATGGAAGGCAATCTTGGCCTGAGTACTTGATTGGGTGCCGTATCTAGCCGGGGAAACCTTACCCTTACGTGACTACACGTTAGAGCCAAGCACAGATGGTAACTTGAAACTTCCTAGAAACTTTTAAGTTACTTGACAAATATGACCCAATTGCCAATCAAAATCTTCACAAAGTTCCTCAGACATCGTGTCCAATATCTTTCCGCAGAGCCAGAATGAGTTCATCAGCCTGCTCAGTGATCACATTAGAACAGCCATCTTTCAAAAAATCGCAAAGGCCAAGTATTTTGCTATCATGTTTAATAGCACGCCAGATATTTCTCACACTGACTAAATGTGTGATTATATATGTGCAATGTCAGGATTATTAAGTGATCCAGCACGCAGAATAATATCACACCTAGGATTAAGCTTAACGTATAACCGCACCTTAGTGCCGGACTTAACGTATCCAAGAGTAGTCAGAATACTTGCCGAGGTCAGGGATACAGAATGAGACACAACGATGAGGGGAAGCCAAAAGTCAAGGATACCAGAAATCAGGAAAGTCAAATGAAGCCATAGTCAAATACCAGAAATATAATGATCAGGAACACTCGCTCGGATAACCAGCTAAGGGAAACCACGACAGAGCACGGAGCAAATGCTATTTTGAGTTTAAATAACCCTCCTTAGGCTGTAATTGGCTGTGTCTGACCTCTGACCCCATGTCGGTGCCATCTTTGACGTGGGCGAAGGTAGGGTTTTAATAGTAGCACAGTCCATAGCGACCAGTCCTCCTAGGAACATTGCACCGGCTGGGGACCGGGAAGGAGGGAGATAGGACAGCTACCCGCTGAGCTCCAGGAGCCGTGACATGCACATTGAAATCACTTTCTCATTTTCTAGTTTAGCCCATGCAGTTGCCCTTTTGCATGCATTATTGTCTTTCTTATGTTATACAATATGGTTCTGATTTTTTTTTATTTAAATCCTTTTCTTATTTTTTAATTTCTTGGTTGACTTCCCACTATGCTACCCGGATGTGCAGCTTTACCACTTTGCTCTAATAGCTGTTCTTCCTCATCAATATTAACATTAAGTGGCTTATAGCATATCCCAACCAGATATATGCCTATAAAGCTTTTTTCATCGTCCATTCCACTTGCCTAATATTTGGCTTTAACTCATGATTTACATACAAACATACCCCACCACCTTTCCTGTTTTTTCTATCCTTTCTAAATAATGTGTAACCATTTTTAAGGCTTCTTGTATTAGTAAGCGTACATTGAAGATTATCATGAATCACTTTTTTTTATTACTATTACAAACCTCCTCTGTTCTGACCTTGCCAATCCCGCATCTCCACCCCTCTTGCAGGGGGCAGTAAAACTCACCTCCTTCTGTCCTATCTCCATTATGTAGATTACTGTGTTATCATCCCTTCTATCACTAGTTTAAAATCTCCACAAACCTTCTATCCATCCTGCCTCCCAGAACAGCAGACCCTCTTCCATTTAGATGCAATCCATCACTGCTATAAAAATTGTACCCAAGCACAAAACAGGCCCAGTGTTCTACAAAGATAATACCCTCCTTCCTACACCATACCTTTAGCCATGCATTAACCTCTCTAATCTCCCACTGCCTTTCTACAGTAGCATGGGGCACAGGTAATATCTCTGAAATACCACTTTGGAGGTCCTCTTTTTCAGTTTACTTTGTAATTCCCTGAACTCATTCCTTAGAACCCTCCATTTACCTCTGATTTTGTCACAAGTACCAATATGGACCATGACAGCCGGGTAATCTCCAGCTGCCCTCAGTACTACTCCTCTCCCCCTACACTAAATAGAGCCCTTATCCACCCTGCACCCACTAGAGCCCCTATTATACCCTTCACCCACTACAGCCCCTATTCCATACTCTACTCACTAGAGCACTACACCATTACTGCCCCCAGTTCTGACTGTGGTATTTTATGATCCCTCTCTATGTATTGTCAACACTGCATTGAGGGAATATGCCCAGCAAGCACAGCTGAATTGCATCATTAAACACACTCTAATTGCGCAAAGTGTACTCAGGGTAATATAGCTCCCAAGATTTCAAATGGATGAAGAGGGACATGTTAATTGTGGGGGTGGGGCCAAGGCAGGCTGTTCTGAGGAATTCTAGGTGACTCACTAATAACAATTTATGCAGCTAAAATATAACTTAGAACAAGAACAATGTGTCTTACCTACACAAATTGGTTTTTAAATACATTTATTGCAGTTTAAAAGACACATTACTGTGAGTTTTATTGCCGTGGAGCTCTGTTATACATTCAGAAACCCCAATAATATGGAGCTAGAAAAGATGGATTTGGGCCAAAAATATGGATTATTCATCCTAAATATGGACACTTGGAAGGTATGGTGTATTGAGCTAATGTGCAGAGCTGACACACTCCATGTTTAGATGGGCTCTGCACACTTTTTGGATGGATCTACAAGCCTTTGCTTCACTAGCCCTCTAAAGTTGACCAATTGGGCTCACCCTGGATTTACCATCTCTGTTGCGTAGTGGAGACTCGTCTATAGGGGCGCTTGGGGCAGTGCCTCACCAGTTTGTTTTTTTTGTGGGGAAAAATATTTGCAGTAGTTTAGAAAAACTAAGATTACTAAGAGTGTGGTAAGCCAAAAAAAATGGAAATAAAAATGAGTGTCTCTTTACTACCCATTTGGAAAAGCCTAGTTGAGAACATCTAGGAATGTCAAAAAATGGGTCTGATTTAAAATCTGCCCTGTTTCGCAGGTTTTGCACATGCCTAGTCTCCTTTATGAAGGAATTTCCATTGAATTTGCAGTGATCGTCAAATTTGCTGGTCTCAGTCACGGAGGTGAGACAGAGCCAGCTGGGGCAGGACTGAAGCCGTGCTGGAAAAATAGTAAGTAAAATACCTTTTCAAAGGGAGGCGAGGGGGGCGGTCACCTAAAAAGTGATTTTGCATCTATAGTGTCAGTAATACATGTCTGTGTTCCTGACACTATAGTGTTCCTTTAAATATCCTCCAGTCATGTATATACACATGGATATATAAAAACACACAGACACACTGGAGTAGGGCTGCCATCAGAAATTTTGGGGCTCTTTACAAAGCTCAAGGCCAAGGGCCCACCTACAAATCGTTTAGCTCCACTTGTGCCAGACAATGAAAAGGTTGGCTGCTTGTAAGTATTTGAGCTGCAGCCCTACCCACCCTTCCCTTTCAGTTATGAGTTTTGTCGTGACCTTATTATGGGATATAAGTCGCCCTCCTGGGCATCACAGGAGGGTGGATCTGGTTTATTTGGATTTAATATATATTTATGACTCCTGGCTTTAGGGGCGGAGCCTAGAAATGGTTAATGGTTTGTTTTGGTGAAAAGTTATGGTTTTATTATTAAGGATGTTGATGTTTAAAGGTTAATAAAGGTTCACGGTTATTCTCCAAAGGTTTCAGTTTTATCAAAATAAACATATTGAAGGAAGTTGTTTTGTGTTTTTATTATATTATGTAACAATGAAAGAATGCAACATTTAAACCCCATGAATTTGTGGGGTAGGATAGTTTTTAGATTTTTTTTTAAATTAGATTTTAGGTTTATTTTTTATAAGTGTATTTCCCCCTCCCTGCCTGTTACCGGTGTCCAGGGAGGGGGTCACTACATTCCCCTTTGGTCCTCCCAGCTTGCTGTCTTGAAGAGTCAAAGGGGGGTCCATGCGACTCCAGTTTCCAGCTCTGGCAGGTCTTCTCTCTCTCTCCCCGGCATTGTGCAGCCCCTACCCCTTATTACTTTGAGAGTCCTGGCTGTCACTTTAAAGTCCTATATAACAGGACTGATAATGAACCATTTCTCCCTCCCCCACCTCTCCAGAGTTAGCTACACTAAACTAGAGGTAACTACATGGCTGCAGTGATATATTTTATTGGGTCTATTCATACAGGAAATCATATTTTCCACAACTTCATGAAACCAGATTTGTGGCTCGGTCCCAAAGAGGTTTTGCAGCAGCTGAGGGTCTAATTACACCAGCTATTCCCTGGGGAGCAGGCGTGTGTGCCTCTCCAGCTGTCATATCATAGTAATGTCTGCTCACAGGCACACTATTACCCCTCTCACAGCAAGGGGCACCTCTCAGTCAGACAACCAGTACTGAGAGAGGGAGCTGTAGGGGTGAGGAAAGAGCTACTGGAGGGTGGATTTGGGAGAGGACTGGGAGTTAGCAGAGCAGGGAGGGGGGAGGCTCTGGGCGGGTTTTACTTTTCAAACTGAAGGCAGTCATAGGGAATGGTGTGCCAACCTGCTCTACACACCAGGAGACACAACACTGACTAACCCAGGACTGGCACTGCACAGCTACATCCCACTACTGCCAGCCAGCCCGAGCCTGCACCCCAGAACTAACCCTGCAAAGCTTTAACCCAATACTGCCAGCCACCCAGAGTCTGCACCCCCAGGACTGGCACTGCAACTCTGAGACCCAGGGACCTACCAAGGCTGCACCCCCAACTCTGAGACCCAGGAACCTGCCAAGGCTGCACCCCGAAATCTGAGACCCGGGAACCTGCCAAGGCTGCACCCCGAAATCTGAGACCCGGGAACCTGCCAAGGCTGCACCCCGAAATCTGAGACCCAGGAACCTGCCAAGGCTGCACCCCCAACTCTGAGACCCAGGAACCTACCAAGGCTGCACCCCCAACCCTGAGACCCAGGAACCTACCAAGGCTGCACCCCGAAATCTGAGACCTAGGAACCAACCAAGGCTGCACTCCGAAATTTTGGACAGAGGCTGCACCCCGAAATCTGAGACCCAGGGACCTACCGAGGCTGCACCCCGAAATCTGAGACCCAGGGACCTACCAAGGCTGCACCCCCAACTCTGAGATCCAGGGACCTACCAAGGCTGCACCCCCAACTCCGATACTGAGGACTCCCCTTTAAGGCCGTACCCCAGGACTAACAGAGAATTTAATTCACTCATAACAGGACTGGAGTAGGACTCTACGAGGTGCATACAGGATTTAAACACTGGACATCCCAAGCCTGGCACAAGAGGCATCCAGAGAATAACCCTGATTCCTCCACACTCACATGCAAGGAGGGAATGAACATCACTCAGCTGACAGGTCAGATAGGATTTTATTATATGGGAAGTGGGAACTTATAACAGGGATCTTTATCAAATTGGGGGTGCTTATTAAAATAGGGCTTCGGGGTGGGGTGGGGCTGTCATATCAGGGGCCTGTTCCTATTATAAGAAGGTCTGTTGTAGCAGGAGGCATTACTTATTAAGAGTTGCCTGCACATATTGAATGGTGTACATTTTGTTAGGAGGGTTGTACTTATTATTGGGGTGTTTTGGGGTGTTCTGTTCGCATTAGAAAAGGCTCAATGCTTATTATATGGTTGTAGGTATAAGGAGGTCTGTACTTGCCATAACTGAAACATACTTATTATAACAAGCAATCTTTACTTCCTATCTGTGCTTGCTTACTATAACAAGCTATGTAATATTAGGGAAAAAAACTTTTTATAAAGGTGTTTACTGCACATTACAAGGTCAGGGTGTGTATTCATTATGATGTAACCTGTACTCAAAATATAATGAGAGCATTTAATAATAATACAAAAATAGAGCATATATTCATTATAAAGCGACTTGCATTTGTTATACTGAGCTCTATAATTTAGAATCTGTGCTCATTATAAAGTGTGTGAATGTTTAGAAGCTGTCACTACTCATTATAATGTTAGTGTGTATATCTGCACTCCTGAAGGGTGATGGGGTCTCTAATCACTATTCTGATCTGTTACACCTGTGAGAAAAGCACAGAAAATCCTATGCTTTATTTAGATAGATCTGATTTATTATTATTATTATTACTATAATTATATAGCATAGCCTTGATCAATGCAAGAGGTATTTTGGGGTTCTAGTAAGTAACCCAAAGCTGCTTTGTGCATAATTTCATTGAATTTGCCATTCAGTCTTAATTGGTGAAAACTGATAAAGGATCTAACTTGAGGAATTGGAATAAGCATGTGCAGTAGCTCAGGCCTGAACCTGAAGGCTCTATTAGGCCTCATCTGAGCAGGCTTTGCTGGCAATGAGTGTTGGGAGTTGTCAATAATAGTTGTGAAGGCATAAAGTACAAAGACAGATCATACAAGCAAACAAGAGTGAACAGGTAGTATAGGTTACATCACTTTTGAATGCATGTGTATCAATAATATATAATATTTTCCTCATATTTGGAGATATATAAGACTTAGAGATATGTGCGTAGCTATTATCTATTACTATCAATCTATCGCTGTTAATTACTTATGTTATGTGTTTGCAATGCACTTCTGCTTTTTATGAGTTTAACCAAGATTATTCTAAAAAAAAAAAAAAAAAAAAAATTTTAAATCATGAAAACAAAAAACATCAATTATATATATTGTGGTACCATATGACTCAGCCAGATGTAGCCAAGCACTTCATTTGATCATTATTTGTAAAGAGCCTTTTGTATCTTGCCCCCTTTTAAAAAAAAAAAAAAAAAAAAAAAAAAAAAAAACGTGAATCAGCTTGCTTTCCAAGGAAGGCCACACAAAATATTGACTTAAAAACCAAATAGGATTTTTCAGTAATTCATGAATGCAAATTTTAAACCAACTGGAAAAATAACGGATTCCAGATCAGCTATTTTGTCTTAAATTTGCAATTGCCTTTTGCATTTCAGATACACCAATTTTAGCGGATAACCCAGAAGAAGGTGTTTTTATTATTCTTCATTAAATTAGTGTCTCTTGCTATGACTACAACATTATATAGTAGGGGGTTAGTTTTGTCCCAAATAAAATGCTTGTTCATCTGATGAATTTAATTGAAAGAGGAACTCTAGACCATATAACCATTTTATCATAAAGGGACACTATACCTACGCGACAACTTCAGCTCGTTAAAGTGGTCTGGGTGCCGTGACATTATACCCTTAAAGGGATACTGTACTGCCAGGAATACTCTGCTTTCCCCCTCCCTCATGCCACCTCCTACCCGGTAAATAAAGGGTTAAAAACCCTATATTTACTTACCTGATCCCGGCGCTGGGTCGAAGCTCCGCCCCTCCTCCGTTCCATGACTAGCGGGGTCTAATGCACATGTGCGGCAAATGCCGCTCGCACATTAGACCTCCCCATAGGAAAGCATTGAATCAATGCTTTCCTATGGGGAATAATCTGACACTGGAGGTCCTCATGCAGAGTGTGAGGAGGTCCAGCGTTAGATAACGGACCAAAAGTCCGTTTGGATTCCGGAAGCCACTGAGGCTAGACTTAGTGCTGCTATGTAAACATTGCAGTTCTCTTGAACTGCAATGTTTAACATTGCAGCACTAGGTGAAAAGGGAGCTTAAGTGGTCTGGATGCCTACAGTGTCCCTTTAACCCTGCAATGTTAATTATTGTTTCTGAGAAGTGTTAAGACTGCCTGTAGTGACTGTCCATCAGACAGCCACTAGAGGCACTTCCTGCTTGTTGGGCGACTTTTGTTGCCTAACTTACGCTGGACGACCTTGCGCTCTGCCTATGGACATCCAGCGTCCGGTAAATACCCATAGCAAAGCATTGCAGCAATACTTTCCTATAGGAATGGCCTAATGCACTTGCTGCGCATTAGCAACCCCCGCCTATCGGGTGACGCCTAAGGGATGGGAGGTACTGTAATATGGTAAGTACACTAATGGTGTATTAACCCTTATACTGCCAGGTGGAGCAACGAGGGAGGGCCCAGAGGGAACTATAGTTCTAGGAATACAGATTTTTGTTTCTAGCATTATAGTATTCCTTTAATGGGCATAGATGTTGCATCAAAAGTTTTGCAAATGAAAACCGTGTAGTTTCCTGTGAAACTGCATTGTTTCTATTTGGCGATACCCTCACTACAATTGACTGTCAGACGTTAGGGTCTTCCAGCACAAACAGATTCAATAGTTGAATCTTTTTTACACCCGAGGTCATCATGCAAAGTATGCAGACACTAGTCTAGATTATAAACCAATGTGAGACTTTGAAATTAATTTTAAATTTAATGCCAGAGTAGCCAAGCTAAAAGCATACACGACTCAGAAAATGTTTGCAGTTTGTCTGCTTTGACCTTAAATTTGAAATTGGCTTTGATTTCTAGCTTTGGTGAATAACCCACTTTGTGTGCATAAATGTATATTATTGTGTGTTCTGTGTATGCACAATATCGTGGAAAAACAAATGCACATATACATTTATGCACACAAAGTGGGTTATTCACCAAAGCTAGAAATCAAAGCCAATTTCAAATTTATATAACACATAATGTAAAATTAGGGTAGATTTCAAAACGTTCAAAAACAAGGAAAAGGACAAAAAAAAAGGAGCAAATTTGCTTTAAGCTAAAGTTGTTTTGGAGTATCCCTTTAAGTAAAATAACTTGTTAAGGTTGTTACGCTGCCTGATCTAAAGAGTTTAGGATCTATACAATAAGGGGCCAATTGTCTGGAAAGAGAACATTGAAGTGCAAATACATGTCATACTCGTCCCTGCTACCAGCTTCTCTTGTGATTTCTCTTCTCCCCACCATTTGTTGTTGTACTTTTTGAAATAAATGGATTGTTTGCTTGTATCGGCAACAATTTCTATTTGATGACAGTTTAGTGATATAACTTATATACGTGTATTAACAATAGTAAAATGGGGGGAAAAAGTGACACCCCTCCCTAACTGCCACAATTCAGCCCTGATAATGCCCAGTTAAAAAGGATTAAATATCATTCCATCATATTGCAAGCAGGCACATTTGATTGTCTAACACTGTACAAATGTACAAATAATGCAAGCGTATTCTGTTAAATCGAACATGTTATGACAAGACAGGTTCACTTTAGGTTTAAACAACTCCTTAAGCAACGACTATATCATTTATCATAAAGATAAAATATATATTGCTTTAGGAGACAACTAAATACTCTACAGCACCCACAGAGCTACCATCACGCAGGGTTGCCAGTGTTACACTGTTGAAAATATGACATTACAAAAGGATGAATTGTATTTCAGATCTCCCAAGGGCAGCATTGCTATTTACATCCCTGTGTCAGTGTATCCTGCTAGTTACAATAACAATGTAGACCGTGGCAGGTTATTTCTCTAATTTAGGCCAGTTTTTAGAAAGCATCAGGCATAGTATAAACATGCTGTACCTGGAAACTGTCAGTATTTCTCTCTGTCTCAGTTGGTGGGTTAGACATTAGAAATTGGAAGCAGATACTATTTTTTTATATATTTATTTATTTGTTACTTGTAAAGACCCCAGTGATGAAAGGGTTAGTCGAACCCAAAAACAGTTACATAGGCTGAAAAGAGACATGTTCAGACTTCCTCCAAAAGAAGGCAAAAAAAACAACGTTTGAAGCACTTCCAATTTTGCAACAAACGTCTTGACCCCAAAATGGCAGATTTATCCTTGGATCAAGAAGCTATTATCCTACAGTTGAAAATGTTATCATTGAATAATTATTTTGCAAATATACATCTAGTTGCTTCCTAAACATCTGTACAGTGTTTTCATAAAATTCTGTTTTTGGTTAAAGTAACCCTTACGCTGCTGGTGCGCCCCTGACCAACACCAATGTCAAGTTCTCTCTCAGTCCAATCTTCCTCTGCTCACTCCTTGTCATGGGAGGTCAGGGAGCATGAACCAAAGGACTGGCACCAACATGCTGTGCATGTCAAATGCCAGTTTTGCATAGAATAAACATTCTCCACCCAGAGCTCTAGTTCTTCGCTCGCTAAGGACACCCCTATGATTTTGCTAGAAGCTGACTCCGGCAGCAGAGGGGGTTAATACTGTATATATGTAATATTTCGCAGTGAATCTCTGCATATCCTTTTTAAATAAAGTGGTCATGATGCTGGCAGTAACCCTTTAAACTGGCAATGAGAGTATTGTGTTATTCACACCATGCCTTTGTATAAATTACAACAAAAAATATATATTTTTCTAAACCGGACACCAGCACCATTGGGATCCCCTAGTGTGTTAGTCAATTAACCAAAATGTGTTTTAGTAAGTAAATAATGAGAATAAATAGGGCAAATTCTTATTGGATTTTTATATATATAATTTATTTAATTTTCCTTTTTTTTCCTTTTTTCCTACAGTTT